GCAAAAAGGCTAACAGTGTGTGTTCTGGACTTAAACTTCGTGAATTCATATCCTGCCTCTACCTGTGCTAGAGATGGGACGCTGAGCAAGTCACTGTGCCTCTCTAAACCCCGGAAAGTGATAGTATCCGCATCATGTTGCCCATGTTAAAATGAAATGTCGTCATCCACATGAAGCCCAGAGTGCCTGGTACATAGTGGAAACCCTTCTCCAGTTTAGATTTGTTTTTTAAAGTGCAGCAGCCCGCTGCCACGTTCATTTAATTTTGCATAAACATGCTCTTTGAGGCTGAAGCAAATCTAACTGGTTTTCAACGTGAAAATAAAATATGAAAACTGTTCTTGGAGTTATTTCTAAACAGAACTTGTCTATAATCCTAATGATAATTACTTTAAAAGAGAGAGAGAAAGAGAATGACTATATTTTGTAATTCTCTCTATTTTTTTGTTTTGTTTTGATCTCGGGGAAAAGCTGCAGCCTCACGCACCACCAGCAAGTATCCTCTGGTTCAATGGGAAAAGGGTTCTTGGTATCTGAGATTTGTTGTAATCAGGCATTATAAGACACAGATAGGGAACCGACTTTCATGACGGAAGAAGTTTGTCATATGGCAATCCACCGTTATCTTCGGGGATTCAAGACCCCCAGTGGATGCCTAAAACCACAGATAGGATACTGAATTATATATCTATACTATGATTTCTGCTCTACATATACAACTATGAAACAGTTCAATTTATAAATTAGGTACAGTAAGAAACTAACAAGAATAACTAATAAGACAGGACAATTATAACAATACACAGGGTCATGCCACACCACTCAGGGGGCCAGAGGAAGCACTGACTCCTGTGTCAGGAGGCAGAGGGAGTGCGGGGGTAACACAGGCAGGAGCCTGTAGTGTGGTTAAGGCAGGTGGGAATGCATGGTGAGGTAGGCAGGCGTAGGATGGGCTAGTTTGAGTCATTATAGAGGTCCTGGGCAGAGGGGCTGCCCAAGTTGTCTGGTACCTGCCCCTGGGGTGACTGAGGCAGGGGAATGATAGCTGGAAGAATTAACCTGATAAGGAAGTGGTTAGGCTGTGCACTCTGACTGGGGTCAGTTTGTATTGAGAGGCAGGCTCCTGGCTTTCTGTCAGTCGACATGAGCTAGCTCCAAAGGGCAGTCCCTCCAGAGTGCAAGGCCCCAAGATGCCACAGCATCAACAAAAGAAATACAATAAAGAAATAAAACATATAATTAATACATGCACTCATTAAGATTGATCTTTTTTTTTTTTTTGAGCTGGGGTCTCACTCTGTCACCTAGTCTGGGCAATGGCACAATCACAGCTTACTGTAGCCTCAAACTCCTGGGCTCAAGCAATCCTTCTGCCTCAGCCTCCTGAGTAGCTGGGACTACAGGTGTGTGCCACCACACCCAGCTGATCTTTCTTTTTTTTTGTAAAGACAAGGTCTTGCTATGTTGCCAAGGCTGGTCTCAAACTCCTGGGCTCAATCAATCCTTCTGCCTCAGCCTCCCAAAGTGCTGGGTTTATAGGTGCGAGCCACTTAACTGGGCTAAGATTGATAATCTATCATCATCATCCTCATGCCCTCTCAAAAGTTCCCTTATAGCACAGCAAACCGATGGTTATATATGACTTCTGTGAAAACAGTCGAACAATATTTGTGGTGGTTTGAAATTAACTTCGATTAGCATGTGAACACTAAAACCTCATCCTTTTCATTAATGACCCAACAATCGTCCTTGAGCTGAATCTAGTTGAGCTATCAGACTTTCGAAAGAAGTGAAGGCATTGGAGAGGATCCTGACAAGAAATACACAGAGTGGAAAAGAGTCTAGAAAGGTGCCATGCTGGGAGGATGGGGTTTGGTCTGCAGAAGAGATGTCTAGGAGATGGCCCGGCAGCCCTCAAGTACTGGCTCCATTTCAAGAAAAAAAAGAGATCACCCCTTCTCTACACTCAGTGATCATACAACGAACTCTAACAGGCTTGATGTGAAGCAAACAAAATTCAGCTCCAGCTAAAGGAAAGAAAAAACAAATGCCTGATCTCAGACACCCACTGTGATGGCAGACACGGAGGGTGTGAATGGTGAGAGAGTCTCGAGAAAGAGATAAACACCTTTCCGCTTTGACAGAGATTATGCGTCTCGGAGGAAAATGAGCACTGGGCCACCTGACCTCTTGGCGTCTTTTTCTAAGGATTATCTGCCTCTGTGGCCAATTTATATTTTCTTGAATTCTCTCCATTAAGCCCAAAGAAAGCTTTAGTTCTTCTCACTTCCTCTTCACAGGGGAAAAATACACAGACAATCAAAAAACCCACCGCTTTAGATATTTTGAGAAGAGAGAGATTGCTTCACAGAAGAGACCAGATTTGATCTAGGGAAGACTCAAAGTACCACAGGGAGACACTCTGAGACTCTAGACCCCTAGCCCTGGCCGTGTCGCGGTTAGCAAGCAGCTTGGCAGAAAGCGAGAGGGGGTGAAAAATCAAGGTCCTGCCCTGTCCCATCCCAGGTGAGATTTCCAAAGTAAATAACTGCAAACTGAGGTCATCATATACATCAACTTGGTCCACAAAGGCCCAGCCATCACAAAAGAAGGCGGATGGACTGGCTAGTTCTTCTCAAGTAGCTCACATACCTTTCTACCTGCATATTGTACAAGAAGTCAAAAATTACAGATCAACAAGCGGGAAAAGAAAATTAAAATCTAATTGGCCCCACCAACCACAGCCAACAATTTGGGACATAATTTTCTAAAGTTCCTTCTCTATTAAACATGCAGCCTTTTCTTCCAAAATTGGATTATACTCTACTTAATTCTGTAGCTACTTTTAAAAAATTTGGTGGCACATTTGATCACCTTTTATATCAATAATTATATTTATGAAATACCATTTTTAGTGGTGAATGCTAAATTCCATTGTATGAGTATACAAGATTAATTTCACAGTGGACATTTGGAGTCTTTCCAATTTTTTTCTGTATTACAGATAGTGCTGTGAAGAACTTACAGGAAAATAATTGTACCATTCTTAATATTCCTTTAAGGTGTATTTCTTAAAAGGTTATTGCTGGGTCAGTGAATAGGCTTGTTTTTAATGATTTTGATACAACTGCAAATTGGCCTCCAGAAAAATCTCTCGGTGGGGAGTGCCCTCGCCAGTCTGCCTGCTGCCACTGTTAGTTCTTTGGGATTTTGCCTCTCCCCTTTCCTCTAGTCTCCTTTTTGTTGGGGTGAAATCTGTTCTCACCAATAAAGCTTTGAAGACAAAATTCTCTTTTGTACCTTTCATAACTCTGCTTCATAGAAATGAATCTGCAAGGGGAACCTCCCCTCCCAAAAAACCAGAATTATCTTTTGGAGGGCAGGTCCCTTGGAGCACCGGCTTCCCCTGCTAGGTGAGTGTTCGAGGAACCCATTGACATCAGTGAACCAGCCAGCATTGTTGTGAGAGGCTGTGTTGGGCTTTGGTGATTTTTTAAAAAAAATTCTTTCAATGCATTTGCCATTTCATGATGTGTGATTCACAAGCAGCACACCTGTCCACACCGCATTGAGTGTTCAGCAGTTTTGGGTCAAAAACAGCATGAACCCCATGCCTCGTCCTCCCTTGTCACCCAATCTCACCCCAAGCAACTTTTTTTTTATTTCTCTGGATGAAAAAAAGAAAAATCTTCAAAGGGAAACATTTTGCCATGCAGAAGAGGTGAAACAAGAAAGGGCAGAAGCACTAAAAGACATCAAAATCGACAAGTTCCAAAACTGTTTTGAGCAGTGGAAAAAACATCTTGATGGGTGTATGTCACCAAATGGAGAGTACTTTAATGGTGATTGAAGTTTAAACAGGCAATAATAAATATACAATCTTTTATAAATAAATTCCAGGTTTTTGGGGGTCCCCCCCTTGTACTTACCTTATTTTTCTTCCACATACATCCCTAATTTGCAAAATCACTGAAAGATAAGTCAACAATAAAAAGGCAACCAAAAGCTCCTATACATTTGGAAATTAAGAAACATGCTTCTAAATCACATATGGATTAAAGAAAAAAAACTATTGAAAATTAGAACATATTTTCAACTAAATGATAATGAAAAAAAAACATAGGAAAGCTAGTGGGTTGCTGCTAAAACACAGTGGAAGAGGAAAACTTGCAGTTTTAAGAGTAGACACTGAAATTTAATGAGCTAAGAATCCAATTCCAGAAGTTAGCAAACAAAAACAGTAGCTCCTTATATATCTTAGTACACTTTCTCATGTCCAAAAAGCACTTGACACGTGATGACAAGTGTCATCTAATTGCTCATGGCAGATTTGGATTTGGGGAGTGAAAAATAACTGAAGGGCCATGGATTTACGTGAACTGATAGAAAGGACCACAGTGCACCAGGATCACAGCACCCTGCGTTATGGTGTGGCTGCATTTTTCCTTAACTCTGGACATTCCAGAGAAGTGCTTTGTGTTTATTTTTTATGGAAAATATTTTGGAGGGCTGGGCCTGGTGGCTGGCTCACACCTGTAATCCCTTGGCTTTTGAAGGCCGAGGCAGGAGGATTGCTTGAGCCCAGGAGTTCCATTCTAGCCTGAGCAACATAGTGAGACCTCATCTCATAAAAAAATTAAAATAAAATAAAATATATTGGAGATAAAGGTTAAAAGTAAGTCCCTTTGTGTGGTTCCATTGCTCTTGATCATCAGAAGCTAAGCACAGGACCTGACCCTGTGACTCTCACATAGGCAACTGTCTGTTGAAGTTAAGGAAAGTTTTGCATATGTAAGGGACAGAGGATGAGGCTCTGGGGATCAATTTTACTCAAGGAAAAAGAAGTGACTTTAATTTCATTAATAGTCTCCTGGATGATTCTGCTACAAGTTTAATTCTCCATTAAATATTAATGCCACTCAGTGTTTAGTATACTGCCATGACTGTCATACCGCTCAGACCGACACTAACCTGTTTTATATTTCATAACTGAATCACAGGGCTTTTTCAGGAGAAGTCAGCAAAGCAATGCCACCTACTCCTGTCCTCGTCAGAAGAACTGTTTGATTGATCGAACCAGTAGAAACCGCTGCCAACACTGTCGACTACAGAAATGCCTTGCCGTAGGGATGTCCCGAGACGGTGAGCGCTCACAGCTTGAGTACAGTAGCACAGGGTGTTGAGAGTGCCTTCCAAAACCTGGGCCCAGATCTGCCAAAATACACTCCCACTGCATCCTCCTCAATGCCCCCAGACTCCTCCTCTGGCAACTTTGTGGAATTCCCAGTGGTGGCTTCCTCCATTAGAATCAGTTGACTGGTTAATGGGTGGGGTGGGGCAGAGGAGAGGTGTCACGGGGTCTGAACGCCTTCAGATTTTTGATAGTTCAGCCATGGCAGGTGGGTGGATTGATTGAAGGTAAGTGTCATCTGAGGGCCTTGATAAATATACCTTCTATAGGCATTTCTCCCCATAGGAAACGCAAACCAGAACTACTTTTACTTGCTTTGCATGAGTACATTCATGGGAGGTTGGGATGAAAGAACTTTTAGGCTAACTGGGTATTCTGAATCATATGCCAAAGTCAAATATTTGTACATACAAAATGTGTGAAAATAGTGCAAAATATGGCTCAGGGTCAAATGTTCTTTTCATTAAAAGAGGCTATTTTATGGACTAGGGACCAACTACCATTCAACTACAAAACATTCCAAGATCTTCCTGGAAACCTATCTTAAGTGCACTGAATAATCAGCACCAGATTTCAAGACAGTCATGCTTAAATGTGGAAACTGGGCAGAAAGCACAGCAGGTCCATTTTAAGGATTTTTCCAAATATACCCGCTGGCTGTCTTAAGAGAGCCCTTTGAAGGAAAATGTCTCCTCCAATGGAGTTTCAACTTGTGGAAAAGTACTTCAGAATGCGGGACAGGCTTTCCAAAAGCCCACCTTCCCCATAATCAGATGTCTCAGGGCCCGTGGATGCGCCCACGCATAAGTTCGCTTTTCTCCCCGTGTGTTCTAAGAGGCCCCCTGTGCACCGCTGCAAAAGTGAAGCTTTTGTTATCAGAAAATACAAATCACAGGATTTATACTATAGTCTCAGAAGTTCCTGTGGCCTGCAACGCTGCAGATTTCGTCTTCCGATGGTGCTAAACTAACAAAGTTAGGTATATTTATTATGAACTTGTAAGTTAAAATTTCAAGTTGCGTGTGCATTTCCTCAAGAGCTGGTTCTTTTACTTAACTTACAGGATGATACATTGACTGTTATTCATATTAAGGCAAAAGTGAACTCAATGACAGAGTCTCTGCTGCTTGAGTTTCACCTGTAGATATTACTGCCCTTGGGTGTCCTAGAATTTTGCTTTGTATTTTTTATTTCCCCCCAAAATTAAGTGTCTTGTTTCATGCCTTCTGGAAATTTTGCATACAAGAAATAGCATGAGTTGTTGTAGGTGCAGAGGGAATGTTAGGGCTTATGAAATTGTGAGTCTGGAATCCAGAGCCCACATCAGCCCGACTACTGTCTAACCAGCCCCACCCAAATTTGTTATCTGAGTCGTGGAAACCGAAAATGACCAGTATTCCAGCTCATTTGTTTCCTCTGTGCACAAGGACAGCATGTTCTTCTTGGCAGGAAAAGACTCCATCCGCTGGCCAGTGTGGTGGCATTGGTTCCCAACCTCATGTCTGCCTGTCCTATCTCCTGCCCCAGACTCGTGTAACTATGATAATTGTCAGTGGGATGAATTCATCCATCCCACCTGGTACAAATTTAACCTCAATCACTTGAGAAAACGGAGTCCCTCCAGCAAAGGCTTTATCTGGAAATACAGAGTCTAACTGAGAAATAAATGAGTTAGCGGGGAATTCAGGCCAGAAAGTCATAGGGTTTTTTTTGGTTTTTTTTTCCAAGTATCTTGGTGTTTTATGAGAAATCATTTGAGGTTCTGGAATGAACTGAAAAGTTACTTTGGTCATTGCTCCATTCTAAATATAGGGACACGTCCCAAGAAGAAGCATTGCGAACACAAATCCGCCCAACAGGGATCTTTTACCGTGTTTGCCCTTTCCAGATCCCGATGCTCTCTTCGCTGGAAGCCAAATGAGAACGGCAGAAAGTGTCGTTTCAAAATGGGCCCAAGGGTTTCACAGGGGCTGCCATGACCCATGAGTGGAGGAAGGGGCTTCTGAGGTCAGGAAGACTCAGATGTAACTCAGGGAACTACAAAGACCTCATCCAGTCTATGCAGGCCTCCCAGTGAAGCCCCAGATTTGGCCGTTTGATCAGGAAGAACCTCTTTGGAGTGTTCAGAACAGGGAGCTGAATGAACGTTGAGGCGCCCCTGCTTAGGCCTCCGTGAGTCCTATGAGAGTGTGCATCTCTGCGCCTTCCTCTGAATGCTGGATGAGAAGGAGGTGGTCTGGGCCAGCAGCACAGGGGAGAGTGAGCAGGCTCGTTAAGTTATGTACTCGTGTGATGCAGTGAGCCCGGGGGATGTGACAGCAGGAAAAGAGAGGTGGTATCTCTCTAGGCCTCTCCTGCCCGTCTTGGGTCTGTTTCAGAAACATTAGTTTTGGGGATGGATGTTTGGGGGAGGGAGAGAGCCTGGGTGGGGTGGGACTGTTTTCACCTCTGGATTCTGTTGCTATTTTTTGGTCATGGGGTCTTGGACTGAGATTGTCTGAGACTTCCAAGGAGACCCCCGCCGCACACGAGAGAGGAGACTGGTGAAAAGCACATTGTACAGGGTGTGGTTTGGCTTTTTTCTTCCAGCTGTAAAATTTGGCCGAATGTCGAAAAAGCAAAGAGACAGCTTGTATGCTGAAGTACAGAAACACCGGATGCAACAGCAGCAGCGCGACCACCAACAGCAGCCAGGAGAGGCCGAGCCCCTGACGCCCACCTACAACATCTCGGCCAACGGGCTGACGGAACTTCATGAAGACCTCAGCAACTACATTGACGGGCACACCCCCGAGGGGAGCAAGGCAGACTCTGCTGTCAGCAGTTTCTACCTGGACATACAGCCTTCCCCAGACCAGTCAGGTCTTGATATCAATGGCATCAAGCCAGAACCAATATGTGACTACGCACCAGCATCCGGCTTCTTTCCTTACTGTTCATTCACCAATGGCGAGACTTCCCCAACGGTGTCCATGGCAGAACTAGGTAATGGCATGTTTCTTCTGCGATGCTCCACTCGTGCTCTTTGAAGTCGGAGGGCTGTGCTTGACTTTCCTCTAGTGAGCTATGTTATTAAAATGATGCAATTCACCTTTACCATGAGGGCCGTGTCATAGTCCACCCTGCCCCCTTGCTTTTGACTGTCCACTGTTTCCCGTGGGACATCCAAAAAGTGTATTGACCTCTCAGCATTGGGAATGGGGCACAATGAAATCAGCCATCTTTTTTTTTTTCTTTCTTTCTTTTTTTGAGTCAGAGTCTCACTCTGTTACCCAGGTTGGAGTACAATGGCATGATCATGGCTACCACAGCCTTGACCTCCTGGGCTCAGGCTATCTTTCCACCTCAGCCTTCTAAGTAGCCGGGATTATAAGCACACACCACTATGCCTAGCTAATGTTTTTGATCTATGGTGGAGACAAGGTCTCACCATGTTGCCCAGGCTGGTCTTGAAGTCCTGGTCTCAGGCAATCCTCTCACCTCCTCCCAAAGTACTAGGATTACAGGTATGAGACACCATACCTGGCCACAAGCAGTTTTTAAATTCTGCAGAAAACTGTAAGCGTAGGGAACAACCACATTAACCTCATTAGTTATTTGCTCTAGTTATAGTCTACGTATCATGCTATACCTAAGGTGACAAAAATGGCAGTCCACAAATTAACCTGACCTTTAAAATGCATTTTTCTTTGACCAGTGCAGAGTTTCAAAATTGTTGAATAAGTTGCTAGTACTTAAACTTGGACAATTATATCGAAAAGTTCAGATTGTTTCAGCTTCTTGCAGGAGGGGGAAAAATGCTCTATTTACACTGGGCCAGCATTTGTGAATGTCAACAGCCATTGGGCACCAGCCAGAGGCTTACACCTTTTGATAGACCCACTACTCCCATTTATATCATCTTCACAGCCTCTGTAGGAATCTAAGTTTTGCAACTTTGATGTATACTACAAATTTTCAACAGAAATTAGCTTCTTTACTTGCCAAAATGCTTTGATGATGGGTATTGGTGACAAAATTGATGTATTTCATAGAAGGCTCGCCATGCCAAAAAAAAAAAAAAAAAAAACTGTCATCTCCTTATTGCTGGGATGTTGCAGCTTTTTAGGAGAGGTGACCTAGAAATGTTGATAACACAGACAATGGAAAACTTGCCACTTGAAGGAAGTTGCGTTTAACATCCTCTGCTATATTTAATCGATTTTTAAGTACAGCACTATTATTAGAGAAACTTTGATACGCGCCTTTGTAGTTTTCAAATTTGATCTGCTCCTCCTGTGATTTTTCACACAAGGTTATAATCCTTTGGGATATTTCAATTAGTTGCTGTGGAGATGACTAAGTTAACACGAGGAGAGAATGAAGACTTCAGATGGAAAAGAACCAGCAGGTTCTGACTCGAGCACAGAAATCCTCAGTTCACAGAAATAATGGCTGTGTTCTTTAGATGGTTTCTCTACCTCTATCCCTCATAAAGCATCTTTTAGGTGAAAATTTATATTTCCAGTAAAATCTTTCTCCAAATAGAACAAATTGAATGTTCTTTACGGTTTTTACACAAGCATCTCTTTATGGGTCTAAATTTAAATCCTCAAGAGCAGGGACATTTTAAGCCTGGTCTGTAACCACTGAACAGCATTAAAGGTGTATCGCAGCTCTTTTGATTAACAGAGAAACCTCTGAACCAGAAGCCAAGCTGAGCAGGGGTAGGTTTGATTTTTTTTTTTCTTGAACTAGAACAAAAACCTTCCATTTTTTTGTCATAAAATCTTGGCTGGCTGAACCTTAAGCAGAACTGTAATGAAAGTAAAATTTTCAGATATGAATAAGGATTTGATTGAAAGCAGTCATGATACCATGAAAAATGACCTGTCTCACTTTAGGTTTGCTTCCACCTTGCCATAAATACTAGTGAATCTGGCCTGTCGGCTTGTCAAAGGCTCATTCCTGAAATAGATCCGCAGGCCATAGGCAAAAGGTTACCCTTGAACGTGGCACTCTGGCTAAAAGCGCACCCAATACCTGGTGACTGGGCTGATTCCCTGAGGCTCCCAGGCAGGTCACTTCCTCATCCATGGCCTTCTGGGAGCCCACACCTTTATCCTTCTGCTACATTCTTTTACACTGGGAATTTTTCACAATGCTGAGGCATTTTCCAGGATGAACTCAATTCACTCATCACTAGGAGGGGTCTCAAACCCAAAACTGAACTAGAATTTGTCTGGCAAGGATGTAACTGGGCGCTAATTTTCTATCCCGTGTAAAGTAGCCTGGGGAACTAAGAGTGGCAGAAACGTGGCCCACATCTTGCTGCTGCTGCTTCAAAGTCAACTACATGTCCCTCCTATTTCCTTTGGGGCGTAAGTCCTGCTACCTTTTTGACTAAGACTCTTGATTTCATTTTAGGCTGACCTCTGTCATCAGATTTTAAACAAATGACACCGATTGTACAATAGGAAACTGAATAGTAAAGTAACATGTTCTAAGTTCTGTTCTCTCTTTCACTAATAGCGTCTGCAACCCATTACTTTTAGTGGAAAAATATGTCTTCGTATTTAGCTAGGGAATTGTGCCCTTGGTTTACCATTTGTACCTGAATTACACTTTCCAGATAAGCAACCCAGGGCCATTGTTTTTGAAAGCACTGATTGCATTCGTTACTGTAATTGAGCACCAAAGCTTCATGCAGGAGAAACAATTGCTATATCAGGCAAAGCACGAGACAAGAAATCAGCTTAGAGGGATTGTGGTCCTAGCCTTGCAGTTAGTTGTACAGCGCAGTATGTCACTTAACCTCTTTAAGCGACAGTCTCTCTTCAGAACATACAAGTTAAGAGCACAGACTCTGGAGCCAAATTATCTGTGTCTGCATCATACCTCTGCCACTTGCCAACTGTGACACCTCAAAGAAGTCACTTAACTTCCTGTAGCTCAGTTTCCTCATCTGTAAAATGGAGAGAATACTAGTACCTTCCTCCCGGGGTTGATCTGAGACTTAAGTGAGGAAATACATACATTCAGAATAGATGTAAATTATGTGGGTCTGGTACCCAGTAAAGGCTACATAAATGCTAATGTCATCATTATTAATGTTATTATTTGTGCAAGGAGAGGGGACCAAATGGTGTCTACTGTTCCTTCCCGCTATGAAACTGTGTGCCTAACTCAGAAGCTAGGATTTCCCTCCAAAAGAATCTAGACGTTGGTTGTACTGAGGAAGCAGTCATGGTTGAGGAGGTGAACTGACTTGCCCTAGACACACAGCGAGGTAGCTGTCTGCTGAGCTCAGGCCTGAAACTAGGTCTCCTGACTCCTAGTTCCAAGGCATGTCACTATGCCAGGGTGTTTCTCCAAGAGACCACGCCGAAATTCTCAACTCTTATTCAGCCTGACCATATTCTCCCTCGCTGCAATAGCGTTTTTAAAATAGCCAAGTGTCTAAAATCTCACATTTGCCAAATCCACTGTGAATTGGAATCAAAGGCAGTCGGTGAGCACTTGGTGTGAATGCAAATACCTCCCTCTCCTGGTCGACGACATGCATTGCATGGGTCACTGTCTCACATATTGGCTGCTCTAATTAGGTAGGGCAAAGTGGCAACAGTTTTTAGGGCAAGGTGAGACAACCATACATTGACTAACTTATTAACTGGAAAAGAAGCGCAGGCTGGAGCAAAATGATGTGAGCCTCTTCCCATTGTCCACCTCACAGCACAGCCCCTGCTTCCCTGTGAACACGCTTCATTTTCGTCACTTGTGTCATATCTGCAAAAGTTGGGTCACATTCTAGACACTATCTTGCATGGTAAGAGCTCTTTCTATAGGACACAGTTCACCGCCTCATTCATGCATTTATTTTCTCATTTTTGACCCCACCTTACTTTTGTCTTTTTGTCTTGACCCTCTTCACAAGCATCATTGACTCTAAGACACGTCGTTTACTGGCTTTTCCCTCTTATTCTCTGTTCCTTTCTTTCCTTTTTTTTCTTTTGTTGTTTTATTTTTTCTCTTATTTATTTATACTGTCTTTGGGATCTGCGTGTTGCCAAGTAGGGCTGTTCGGCTTTATTATGTTTCAGTGTCTCTAAGGAGATTCTGGTTTCAAGCTCCATTTAGGTGAACCTGCTCTGTTTTCACACAAACAAGTCTGCTTCTGTTTGACTAAAGCAGTAACAAATTTCCAAACAAATTGACACTCTCACTCATGCTGCCAAGTCTCATCCATCACCAGTCTTCTAAATGGCTTGCCTACTTTGTATATCCAAGATACCGGGTGAGGGATCGTTTTGGGGTATGGTTACATATTCACAGAATCATGTCGATTCCTTAATCACTCTTCCCTTTCAGAACAATTGTTACCAACCCACTCCAGGTGCTCAGTCCCTCACATCTAGCTCCCAGCTGTCCTCTGTTTGTTTCTCCTGCTCCAGCCTCTCTGTGCTGCAGTCCACCAATCACAAAACTGCTTGTCCTATTTCCCCAGGTCCCCCCAGAATCCTGCTAATTATTTTTGTTACATCAAGTCCAAACTCAGTCCTTGGCCAGGCGCTATGACTCACGCCTATAATCCCAGCACTTTGGGAGGCTGAGGTGAGAGGATTGCCAGAGCCCACAGGTTCAAGACTAGCCTGAGCAACATGCGTGACCTCATCTCTACAAAAAATCAAAAAATTAGCGGATCCTGGTGGCACATGCCTGTAGTTCCAGCTACTTGGAAGGCTGAGGCGGAAGGGTCACTTGAGCCCAGCAGGTCAAGGCTGTGGTGGCTGTGAGCAGCATGCCACTGCACTCCAGCCTGGGTGACAGAGTGAGATTCCAACTCAAAAAAAAAAAACAACTCTGTCCTCACTTTCAAGATCCTTTGGGATTGGGACACTTACCTACCCACATTTCTGTTTGACACTGCTGCTCCATCATATCTGCCTTCCCCCTCGAAAGGCCGTATTTGTTCCTTCATTACCATCCCTCCTATGTGGAGATGGCCTACCTCTTGACACCACTGAGCTCTGCCTACCAGTCCTACCCATCCTTCAGGGTCCAACACAAATGTTCCTCTTCTGCCATGAGGCATCCTTCTCCATTAATTCAACATTTATGTCTTCCTTTTCTGATGGCAGCTATTATTTGTTTCTGTCTCTTCTGTTGTAATTCCACTTTAAATTTTATCATCTTATGTCTTCAATGATCTTTTCAGTGTTTTCATACATGTTCACCAGATTATAAATTCCTAGAGAAAGCTTTTTTTGGCATCTATTTATGTAATATCGTCAAACCTCATAGACTCAAGTGTAATAACAACTAATGTTTTTGTGGTACATGCTATATAATCCTCCCTGTTCTAAGTGCTCAACTCATTTAATTCTCCCAGCAGCCCTACGAAATAGGCACTGTTTTCTTCAGTTTACAAATGAGGCGACCAAAGCACAAAGAGGTTTAGTAACATGCCCAAGTTACTAAGTACTTACACAGCTAGTAATTAGCAGAGCTGAGGTGTAGACCCAAACAGCCTAACTCCAGAGTCTCTCTTAACAACTACACAGTGCATAGTCCTATGATAGGCCCTGGGTAATGTTTATTCTGCCATCTGAATGGAAAACCAAAGAAATGCAGCCATTGTTTTGTTGAGCACTGGCCAGGCTAAGTGCTCTTTGAGCTATGACCGCCATGTTTTCTTGACTTTGGACCCCTCCCCTACCTTGGGGAGGTGATTCTCCTTTCTTTCTCTAACTTACTTTCTAAATAAACTATATTTTCCAATCTGAAAGAAAAAGAAAAGCATAGTTGTTATCATAAAAGAATATTACTTCCTAGTTTTTCAGGAATAAGAAGAATCCTTCTTAGGTCAATGTATATGACAGATGTGTCATAAAAATGCCAAGAAGCCATAGCAGTCATGTCCCATACCTATCTAGGTCAATACTTGTTTATTTCTAGACACTGGTATCAAGGCACTGAATAAGGTCAAAGCCAGGAGAGTCTCTGAAGTCACAAAGACTTATCTTCAAATGTTGGCTTTGCAAAATTTCTGATCTCCAGCCTCATGTTCCCAAATACAGAATAGTTTCAGCTTGCTTGTTTAAATGGTAAAGATCATCAAAACTGGTTCAGCACATTGCTTTGTACATATTACTTTTTAAAGCAAATATCAAGCCACTGATTGTCCAAAGAAGAACTTGGCTTTTCGTGTATATGATCTCCTGTTTTCTCCTCAGAACACCTTGCGCAGAATATATCTAAATCACATCTGGAAACCTGCCAATACTTGAGAGAAGAGCTCCAGCAGATAACGTGGCAGACCTTTCTGCAGGAAGAGATTGAGAACTATCAAAACAAGGTACAATCTGAGGAATTTTTCCTAGGATGGAGGCGACATTGGGAAGGGTGTTGGTTCTAGAGATGTGGTCAAACGTTCAAGCAGACCAGAGAGTGATTATGTCTTTCTCAGATATCAGATTTGCTTCAAAATCTTTCTTCCAGCCACACGTGTACTTGAAGCTTTGCCATGTTACTGAGATGCCAGCATGTGAAGTTCTAGCAATAGCTAGATGGTGCATGACAAGCATATACCCATATCTCCTGTCATTTGTCCACAGGGAACTAGATTAAGCAGCTTCCAAGAGCCTAAATTAATTGAGATTTGTCCTGATAGCATAGTGAAAGACTTTTAAGGTCTGGAAGTTGATGGAAAATAACCTCAGCCTCATGTTTCCAGAGGTTACCAAGAAGGAGTTTAAAGAGTTTGTTTGGTTTTTTTTAAGTGTAAAAGCTGTGATCACAACTCCCATCTAACCCTGAGCCTGGCCCAGTGCTGCTCCATGCCTTCCTCTGTAAAACACTCATTCAACAAGATTATCTGAGCGAATCCTCCTCTTCATTTTACATGTGAGGAAACTAACATCCCTAGGAATGTGGCTGGAGAGTAAAACGTCAGAACCCATCCTTGACTCCCAGCTCTGGATTCAGCGTTTCTTCCCCCCATCATGTTGGTTGACGCGGTCTTAAACTAAGACTGGGAAAGCAAGGTAGCAGCACCATAGATCCAGGTCACTGTAACTGAATTGGAAAGTGAGTCCATCAGAGGAATTGAACAGGACGTGTTGGAGAATGGCAACCCATCACTCTGTCTGCCATTGAGGCAGCTGGTAATGCTAGCAGCCAAAGCCACAGAGGAGAAGGAAGAAAACAGTAAGAAGTAGCAGGGCCCATGAAAAGGGCTGTCAGCCGGGCTCGGTGGCTCAGCCTGTAATCCTGCGCTCTGGGAGGCTGAGGTGAGTAAATTGCCTGAGCCTGTGGGTTCGAGACCCGCCTGGGCAACTTGATGAGACCTTATCTCTACCATAAATCAAAAAAATTAGCCGGGTGTGGTTGTGCACACCTGTAATTCCAGCTACTTGGAAGGCTGAGGCGGAAGGATCACCGGAGCCCAGCAGGTCGAGGCTGCGGTGGCCGGGAACGGCCACTGCACTCCAGTCTGGGCAACAGAGTGAGACTCCAACTCAAAGAAAAAAAAGAAAGAAAAGGGATGTCAGAATCAGAGATACTGGGATTTGAATCCTAGCTCCTAAATGTACTTAGCTGGGAAACTTCTGTGAGCCTCAGCGTTCATTTCTGGAAAACAGGAAAACATTCTTATGAAAATGAATTAAGACAAGGATGTCATAAAGCACCTGCCTCATAGTAGGTATACAATAAATGTAATTGAACCCCCCCCCCTTTTCCTCCTTGCCCCAAGTTAAGTGGTGTTAAGTTTCCCAAGGCAAAATAATAATTTAAAAGAATATCTTCCTTTGCTACTCTTTGTGGCCCAGGGCTACAGCAGTGCCCGCTTTGCTTTCGTGACTCTTTTTTTCCAGCTTCTGCTGCACAGCACAACATCTTCCTGGTGTATGTTAATGCGTTTCTCTCTTTAACAGCAGCGGGAGGTGATGTGGCAATTGTGTGCCATCAAAATTACAGAAGCGATACAGTATGTTGTGGAGTTTGCCAAACGCATTGATGGATTTATGGAACTGTGTCAAAATGATCAAATTGTGCTTCTAAAAGCAGGTATGTGCATTGCGAGTGAATTTTGAGATCTCTTCCTAACCTGCTTTCTCCCGCTTATTAAAGAAATGCTTGGTAAGGAAGGTGTCGGGAACAGTTTTTCTCCAGTGATAATAGCTCAGGTTTTTCTTAGCAGAGACAGAGCTCTTTTTAGCGGTTTTGGGGATCTATTCAGGAAACATTCCTCCCATTTTGTTTCTCTTCTGGGTGAAAAGATTAATTTGCAGGACATCTGCTTTCCCAGATTTTACCATCACCTGTGTTTGTTTCTACGCTCTGGGTCTGCTGGAATTAACGATGTCCTTTAGGAAGTATGCTGTGGAGCTCAGAAAGACATTCTTGTCCTGGATTGTTTGTTTTAATAAATATGAATCAGTGTTTTTCCTAGCAACTTGGAGACTGTATGTTGCAAGGTAGAGGAGTGTAAGGAAATAACTTGTCAATCAATCCTCACTTGCGTTAGATAGGACTTAGCCTCAGTGCCAGCACGACAGTCTTTAATTCTAGTAGAAAACGCTGCCCTTTTGGATAGAAAGCGGACGTGACTAAGAATCTCACTAGCTAAACTGCCTGCGACACCCGCTGAGCTGTCTCAGACAGGAGTCTCTATGCGATACCTTAGACATAAACTCACTGCCATCACATGACCCCACCTGTTTCTGCCCTGCTCAGGTTCTCTCGAGGTGGTGTTTCTCAGAATGTGCCGTGCCTTTGACTCTCAGAACAACACCGTGTACTTTGATGGGAAGTATGCTAGCCCTGACGTCTTCAAGTCCTTAGGTAAGGAAATAGCAAGGTGCCTTGCCTTTAAGTCAGGGCCCCTGGAAAATATGTGGGCGGGTGAAAGCTCTGATTAGACAAAATGGAAACTGGTTATATGGAAACAAAAATTAAAGATCTTATACCGATTTTACTTTCTAGTGAGTCACTATAAAAAAAAAGTCACACAGCTCAAAAGGTTTTTGTCTATGTTACACATGAAGATCTGGTGTTTCCTTTTGCCTAGTTGGTAATCAAAGGGATTTATTTCACGTGTCCTTCCAGTTCCAGATCTTAAGAAATAAGATTTGTGGGGAATATATTATTCAGATAACTTAGAGGATGCAGTTTGATACATTAAAGTCAGCAAAGAGCAAAAAAATCTGCCCTCCCATGCCCCTCAAACCTTAACCATTAATGAGAATGAAATGCAGCAATCAAAGAAATAGAAGTCTAGCTAAGCGAAGCTATGACATATAATTTAGAAATGATTTTGAATTTCTATAATTTAAATAAAGTAGAATATAGTCACTAAGAAGAATGGAAAGGTGTCCAAGATATCTTGTTAAATGATTTTCCTTTTTTTTTTTTTTTTTGAGTCAGAGTCTCACTCTGTCACCCAGGCTGGAGAGCGGTGGCATGCTCATAGCCACCCCAGCATCCACCTGCTGGGCTCAGGTGATTCTTCTGCCTCAACCTTCCAAGTAGCCAGAACTACAGGCATGCACTACCATGCCTGGCTAATATTTTGATATATTGTAGAGATGAGGTCTCACCAAGTTGCCCAGGCTGGTCTCAAACCCCTGGGCTCAGGCAATCCTCTTACCTCAGCCTCCCAAAGTACTGGGATTATAGACTTGAGCTGCCACGCCTGGCTATAAATGATTTTTTTAAGTTACATGACAGTTGGGCACAGTGGCTCAGGCCTAAAATCCCAGCACTTTGGGAGGCAGAGGCTGAAGGATCACTTGAGCCCAAGTGGTCAAGACCAACCTGCGCAACACAGCAAGACCTCATTTCTACACAAAATAAAAACATAGCCAAGCATGGTGGCACGTACCTGTAGCCCCAGTTACTCTGGAGGCTGACACAGGAGGATCACTTGAACCTTAAGAGTTGGAGGCCATGGTAAGATGTGATCATGCCACTGCACTCCAACCTGGGCATCAGAGTGAGACCCTACCTCAAAAAAAAAAAAAGCTACATGATATATATATATATATCCATATATATGGATAGTCCATTGTCATTTATATATATATATATATATATATATATATATATATGTATGATATACAAATCTGAAAGAATACACACCAAACGTAACCAGTTTTGGGGGTATTGGATTATTATTTTAGGGGACTTTCACGTCCCATGTTTTCAGTTTGGTAAATCGTTGTGTTAGTTTTGCCACCAGAATGTGTCATTTGTTAACATTTTTTATTAGGAGACTTGTTTGACTTGAAACATGAAAACTATACACATTAGAATCAAGTTTTATTATATATATATATTTATTTCAAAGATGTGGGGTACAATTTAGGATTAGGTATACAAGTGGACATCATACACGTAAAGTTTGGGCCTCCCTTTGGTCCCCACTTTGCCTGGAGTTGAGATCATGTACCTTTATTGCGTGTTATGTGCTCCCCCCCACCCCATTATATCCCACTACTGCCCATCCCTTTCATATAGTATTATGG